AAACAATTTAAATTAAACTAAATTAAAATATTTACTAGACTATAATGTGTGATTAGAATAAATTAAATTTTGTTCATTTAAATCTTTAAGGTTTTATTCATAAACAAATTTTTATTTTATAACAGGTTTATCAAACAAATTTTGTATGAACATATTGTTTTATAAACCTTTTATAAAATCAAAGTTTCTTTATGGATAAGGTCTTTAAAGTTTAAAAATGAAGGTGTTGAGTTGGAAAGACAAAAAAAAATAATTTATTTAATTTTTCTTATATTTTTTTTTCCTTTTTTGCTTTATTTTATTTATGTATTTGTTTGACCAATTGATTTATTTGCTTACAATTTAAAATAATTTTTTAACACCGCCTTTTATTGGTATTCGAATAACGTTTTGAAGTTGCTGGCTCAATTAACTTTCGACCGACTATTAAGTCGATTATGTAAGGAAAGGAACAATTTTTTATTTATGGTTGTTAATTTTTTCGATTTAAATATTTATTTACTATTTTACAAGACTTTTAAGTGTGAGAAAGAGAGGTAAGAAAAGGGTATAAATTATAATAATATTTAAATTTCAGAATAGTTAGATGAAATGTCAAATTTATAGTTTAATGCCAGTAATGGCACAATTCAGTGTGGAGCTGCAGAAACATTTTTGTCTACCTTTTTTGAAAAAGTCGACCAGTTTGACCCTAAAAAGTCGGTAAATCGATTGTCTAGTAAAAAAAATCAAATAAAACATTTTATAAAGTCGAAAAAATTACTTTATTAAAATAATTCGAAAAGCCGAAAATTTAAAAATTTGCTAAGTCGACTTTTACAAAAATTTTAAAATGTCGAAAAGTCGACTTTTTGTTTCAATTACATAATATCCTAGATAGGATATATTAATTTAATGTATTTCCAAAAGGTTGGGATGCATCATCTTCTTTAGCTGAAAAAAGTCGACTTTTTACAATTTATGAAAAATCGATTTTTGGACCTTTTACCATTCTCGAAATGTCGACTCTTCGAACTATTTTTGATCATCGTTTTCTTACAAAACAGTCGACATTTCGACTTTGTTAGGACATTTCTTCTTTAGCTGAAAAATGTCGACTTTTTACAATTTATGAAAAATCGATTTTTGGACTTTTTACCATTCTCGAAATGTCGACTCTTCGAACTATTTTCGATCGACGTTTTCTTACAAAACAGTCGGCATTTCGACTCTGTTAGGACAAAAAAGTCAACTTCATCTGTTCGAAAGTCAAATTATAGAACCCTACTATAAACAACAATGAGCAACTATTATCCCAGAGTTTAAATAAAGCTTTTTAAGGTGGAAGTACGCAACACGCGTTGTACGCCGCAAAGCGTTATAGGCTTCTGTCAAAAAGAGTTGAAATAGTGTATTTTCATTTAACAAGTTACACACTGCAGTTTCAACAACTTTTGACGCGTCGGCAGCTGATCAGGGTTGTATTTTGTTTTGTGTAGAATAAAAATTAACAAAAATGAAATAAATTTCACACACAATGAAAGAAAAACATTAAAAAATAAACAAAAACTTAAAATTTTGTTTGAAATTTGGATTATTAAAATAGTAATAATCTTAAAAAACATTAAAAGAAAAATTAAAATGACGCGTGTTGTGTAACTTGCGGCTTGTAAAGCGTGACAGGTGTGAAAAGCGTAAAACGCGTTGCCGCCTCAACGCGTGTTGTGTACTTCCACCCTTACACAACTCAAGCTTTCCTTTTTCGTAAAATGATAAACAATTTTCATTTGTAAATTTATTTGGAAAATAACTAATAAAAGTGAAAATAAATTTACAATATATAGAACAGACTTAGAGTAATCAGGTGTTTGCCCTGACGAAAAACATGCATATTGAAGATAGTGAAACTTCGAAGGAATTGGCACGAATCGAAAAGGGGGTATATTGATTTTGTCACTCCGTTTGTAACACATCGAAATATTGGTCGTAAACACGCAAAAGTATATATAATCTGGATCCTTACTAAATTCGGAGACGATCTAACCATGTCCGTCTGTCTGTTGAAAGCCTCAGAAAAATAGCTTTATCAGTCGTGAAAAGGGTATATAAAAATTTGACAAATTGCACATCACATATAATTTCCGACCCTATAGAGTATATATGTATATTCTGGATCTTTGTCCTTTATCTGTCTGACCATACATTATAGTCCTTCAACTGTAAGATAAATTCTGAAAATTTCATCAACTTTTGTAAACGTGTGCGGAAGTCTAAAAAATGGGAACTAGTAAGGTCTATGTTTTAATTTTTGTTTTAAATAAAAGCATATTAACGAATATCCGAAAATCATTAATGTTTAATTATAGCAACTCTTTTTATCTCTCACTTCCTTTGCACTTCTAGTCTTGTAGTCGATTAAAATTGACAAGTGTTAAATTTATGTTTTAAATTTCATGATCACTAAAATTAATTCAACTAAATGTTTCTTTTAAATATTTTGTTTTATAATTTTCTGTTATATTTATGATGATTTTATAGTTAACTACTAATTGATTTATTATATTAATTAATCGTTTTAGTTTATCTATTTCTTTCAGTAGTATTAAAAAAAAATTAAATTCGTGTTAATTTATTATTGTATCAGCATCATCTTTTTTACTTACTTATACATTTGTAAATTTTTGAAATATTTTATAAATACAGTGGGTAAATAGAGTCTTTCGACATTTAAAAATTTTTTATCGTTTAGAGCTTATTCGTCATTCGTCGAAACATAAGATTCTTTATCAGCACAAATGTATGTAATATAAAAATATATGTAATATATTTTAACGACGATTTTAATTGTTTACATTAAGGAAAACTTTTATGACCTAACTAGGTATATTTTGAAAAGGGTAGGTTTGATTAGTAGGATACTATATCAAATCCAAAGAAATACACCTAGACCACCATCGAGCCTTTTTAACTCCATATGTGTAACGACTTATTTTAGTACTTATTTGTAAATGACAGTTATATGTACTTGCCTTCAATGCAATCGCCGTGTTAAAGTACATAATGTGTTAAAATGATTTTTAACTCATTATCTTTCAATGTATATATGTCTTTGCTGGGTTACTATACAAGTCGAAATACTACTTACTTAAAATTAGTTTAACTAAACAGTCCATTATAATTGCCGAAAATCGGTGTCCGTACTTGCGTTCAAAAAATAAAACACAATATAATTTATATTAATTTCAATGAAATTGTTTTATTTTGAAGATAACTTTTATAAAATTTTAATAGGATACATCAGTTGTAATTTAAACAGGATCAAACTTTCGTTTCCAATTCCTTCGTTGAAAAATGGACATTAGGAAAATTTTTGTTCTTCCCTTTGTCTACATGAATTTGAGGACTAGTTCTGTAAAATTCTACTATTTTGCATTAGTTGTTACTCGATAATTATCCGCACTCAAATCAATTCGGAGCGGTTTCAAAAGTACGCTAATTACGGTTTTCCACAAATCAAGTACAAACTTCTTGATAGCATGGATCCGATAAGTACGAAAAGTCTAACTAAAGCCTATTTGGGCTAAATACAGATAGCTAAATGAAAATTGGCACATAGCTTCCTTCCCCTTATCATAATTAGTAAGGAAATAAAAGCCACCGAAAATATCTTGTGCCCTAAGCGAGATATTGGAGGTCAAAGGTTACAAAAATTAGTTTTGTCTTGTTTAATATGCGTCGGACGCATTTTAATGTTATTATAATTTCTATAGAGAAGTGAATTTCCTACATTTTGGTTACAGGATATCATTGCGTTGTTTTCGAGCTATAGTGCATTATTTTTCCATTGCACTAATATTTTCAAATCTTTATATATCTAAACCCTAATTTTCCTGAGTGATCATACTTGATTTCGGAATATTTCAGCAAAAAAATTAATTACCAAAGTTAAACACACATATTAATATGGAGATATCATCTGTCAAAAACTCAACTAATTATTGCAAAAAAATACTTAACTAAATGTGAATTATATGTTAGGAAGCAAATTAATATATTTATGAATTAAAAAAGAAATTAGATCGAATTAAGTACCAAATGGGATTAAAATAAGATTCATATTCAGTTATAAGAATTTTTATATCGATCTGTTTAATCAATTCCGATGTAATAAAATCGTTCTTCAATATTTAAGTACGTTTTAGGCTAAATTTGAGATAAATAAAGTTAAATTTAGTATGCGATTTTTCTTTCTATGTTGTAGTACCATTTCATATCAAGTAACCAAAAAAGTATGCAAATTCTGAAAACCTTTCCAAAACTAATTAAGACATCTTTACATAGACCAAATATTTGTTCAATACTACTATTCTTAGTAAATGTTTATTTATTCTTACCTTATTTTTGTAATATCAAATAACATGTTTAATGAAAATCTAAATTTCTTTTTATGATTTTCTCTAAAATATATGATGGTCGTATATGAGGGGATGTAATGAAAGTTAAAGCATTTATTATAGGCTTACCAAACTTTAAATTGTTAAATTTAATTTTAGCAAAAATGTAAATAATTCTTTAATTCCTCAAAAGACTCCATTGCCCCACTGTTTGTAATATGTAAGTATAATATATGGTGTAATACCATAATTTTTTCTTCAATTTCCCTCTCTAGTTTTAGTTACAAACATTTGTTTAAATAAACTTAACTAAGTAAACTTTAAGCATTTTTTTATTCGATTTTTTTCATATTTCGTTTGTTGTTGTTTTAAAATTATAGTTACAATAGTTTTTTAGTTAAGTTTACTAAAGTTACATCAATACTACACATTTAAATACATAGTACATATACTACTTATATACATAGATAGATACATATGTATGTAGGTACACAGATACTTAGATACATAGATAGATACATACAACTAACAAATAATAAGCTACAATTACGAGTATTATTTTTTTTGTTAAATAATAGAGATTTTGTTTAAACTTTGTTTTATATTCTCTTATTAAATTAGTTTCAGTTTTTTTTTCGCTGCTACTTCTACTAACTGCTGCAACCACTACTCTTGTGTTTTTATGTAGATTAATTTTAGTTTATAGTAGAAATACTCTTAAATATTTATGGCAAGTAGTTTTCATCTGCAAGAATCTCTGCGGTAATTTTTTGTTTGAAACAAAAAAAATCAAGAAACAAAAAAAAAATAATAATAAAATAATAATAGAGACTGCATACAGTAGTGTTCAAAATTACAGAACATTTCGTAAGAGTGGAATTATGTTTAAATTATTGTTAATTTATAAACCGTCAATATAAACTTAGGAATACTCTATAACTATTCAGTTAAAACTTTAAATTTTTTGCGATTTGCGAGGGCATTCTTGATAAAGAGCTAAATTAATATTGACATAACATTGACATCCTAAATAAGGAACTAAAAATCATTCTAAATATTAAGTGTGCTAGGTTGAAGGTCAAAGGTTAAAATGTCGTAATATTTCATCTTTTAATTGTAGTTATCTTAGAAGAACACCACAATGTATTTCCTGGAATCTAAATTTTAATAAATCCTAGAATTCAAAGAACTATACGCTCTAAATACCCAGAAATCACAAACTGAAATATGGGCAATATGTCTAAACTAAATAAGGAAACGGTTATACTTAATTCCTTGAGAATCGGTCTATAATTGATCACCATCTTACAGCAGTCGACCATGACAGACTATATTTTCTTACATTTGTATATATTGAATTTTACCTTCAGTTGAAAATGATGCGGATAGTGTTAAATGTGGACCGATCATTATAAAATTGAAGTTGAGTGATTTAGGTTTATACCAAATTTATTTGTGTCGAATTGCATTGCGATGTATAAGTGTATTATGGACGTTCAAGACATACTTTGAAGGGGCCTTTATATGGGGTCTAGAGTCAAATGAGGTCCGATCATCCGAACAGTAGCATTAAAACTTAGTTGATCCGATTTTATACAGATACCTATATATTTAACGCAATTATAAGTTCCAAAGCTCTTTTCGGGGTTTTATGAGGGCTACTTTGCAGCAGGACCAATATTTTTGTGAGTTGTAAACATTAACTCAAACGCATAATACTCCGCTACAGTGGTGTAGGGTTTCAAAATTGTAATACGATGATGATAATATGATATTTAAAGAATCCATGACTTTATGTACATAAATTGTTTCAGTGTAACTTTCTGATTCGATGTTGCCCTTTATCATTAAACCGATACAGCACCGATATATATAATAAAAAGTTCAAGGCCCATCCTCATTGATTTAATTCGAATTACATATATTAAAGCAGTTAGTTTAGCTTTAAATAGAATTAAAGGAAAATATTTAAGTTGTGCTATTATAAGATTTGGATTTGGTTGGATCGAAATTTTTGATTTATATACTAGATAAGTGTTGAACTTAATCGTGATACTTATACCTAAACAATTATTAACGGTAAATCTAATCTCTTTAAAATATTATTTTCGGGAACTTAAAACAAAATGGTTTTAAATTTTTTATCGAATAATAATTATAGTCATCTAAAAGACATTCCAAGAAAATATTTGTATTTTTAGTGAAAACATGTTCCGTTTTTAACTATTTTAAGCAGAGTGACGACTTTGTTCCACCACAACTTATACATATATCCATAATTCTGACCACAACTGTATGTTTATTTTTTTTGTTGATACGAGTAGAAATATTATACACTAATGTAAATAAATTAAAAATAACGATAAACATTTTACAACAATAACTACAACTATTATAATAAATTAAGTTACACATACTACGAACAGAAAACATTCAGACTAAAACTGCATTTAGGCTAAAAGGAATGAATGGATACTAACTAACTAGTACATCGAACGATTAATCGTTTTAAGTTATAAATACTATATATTTATAAACTTAAAACTTTAAAAATAGTTACATACAATAATGTCTTGTCCAAACTTGGGCGGAGTAAAAGGAACGAATTTGTTTTTATTACAAAGTTAAACGTAGCTTAAACTACTGTTAGATTAGAAATTAAACAAATTTAGAGGGAATTTAAGCAAGAAACGTGTTTATCAATAATGGATTAAGAATTGTTAATGTATTACCAGTATTATTTAATTATTCTAATTCTGGACTTATAAAGTTTTCAATTTTTAAATTTTCTAACTTATATGCTGTCAAAATTTGGTTCCACCGATTCTTTATAAACATAAGTATAAGATAAAATGTAGATGATAAAAATCAAAGGCGTCCAATGTTTAAATAAAGACAAAACGTCAAAATATAATTATTTCTTTCAAAAATAACTTTTAATATTTTAAAATTTGGTACAAAACACTTAGTGTTAGACTTAAGATATCTGCAGGCCGAATGATTCAAAATCGATTGGTATTCTAAAAGCAAACAAGAAAATGTTCCTTATTGGGGCCACATATTGCACAAGACACATATTATATGTAAGTAAGTATGTAGGTTGAAAAATAAAACTAAAATTACTACATAAATTAAAAACTACTTTTTCTTTTAAAATAGTAAGACTTGAATCACATACGTTTTATTGATTGGTTTTGTTGGTTGGTTGTTTGTTTGTTTGTTGCATTTCGTTTCTTATTTCAAACAAATTGAACTTTTTTCTATAAACTATAGTCTTAAATCTAAACAAAGTAACTATTAAACTACTGATCTTTAAAAATATCAAACCTATATTTTATCTTGTTTTCTACTTTAAAGTTTTTTTGTTTGTTTTGTATTAGGAATCATCACAAATAGTTAATACCATCATCTTAAACTTCTACTGACCATACCATACAATAGCAATAGCTTGCCAACTCTACTGCTTCCCCCATTTTTTCTCTTGTTCACCCTTTTACCATTAGTTTACTTCAGCTTTAAAAATGTCAACAAGGCCTTTTGTATTAGACTACGATTGATGGTCGAGTCGGCTGTGTAACGCACACCTCGCAAGTTGCCATCGTTATGATCTACAACACCATATTCGCCCACAATAAATCCATCATCGGTTTCTTCTTCGACGCGATATTTGCGATAGTTGTGACCCTCAACAATATAGGCCACTTTAGAGTCATCATTATCATCACCGCCACCATCGGCATTGCTGCCATCATCATTATTGCCATTGACAGGGGAACCACCATCATCATAATCGTTATTCTTCGCTGCACCATTATCTCCACTATCGTCACCACCACCGTCACCATCAACATTGTCATCATACTGATTGTAGTCTGGAGTACTAAGATGTCTATTGTTGCTGGTGTCTGTATTGGCATTTGCGTTGGTGTTGTACGTTGTTTGACTCATATGATGATGTTGTCCACCATCGTGAACCTCTGGATTTTCGACATTCGTACCAAAGTGTATGCGAGTTCGTTGTCTATTTGGCTTGAAACCATGATGCTGTTGTTGGTGTATGGGTGATGTGGTTGGATGTGCCAAACTGTTTCTACCACCGCTATGGGCTCGCCCATTTGTCATTACACTTACAGACTCTTCTATTTCGTAATTTTGCTCTGGGGTCGGCGTGAAAAGCTCTTCAAGATGACTGCGTTCGGTGGTAAATGCTTCAACACCGCCACCCGTATCATCACTACTATCATCGTGAGTAGCGGCAGCTGATGATGTATGGGAAATTTCAGCTACACATTTGACTAGATCTGCGAAGAAAATGAAAAATAAATTAGAAAACAGGAAAATTTTAGCAAAATTAAAAGAAACAAAACAACTGTAAATAAAACGTGATAAATGTGCTTAAATATACTGTCAGCGGAATGCAATGAAAAGTTTGTAGGTTTAATTAAATTTGACAGCCCAATAATGTCGTCAGACCTAATGTGTAGATGAACAAAACACAGTAAATCGGTTATATATTGGAAAAATATTTCAAAGAAAATTTAATGTTATTTCGACCACTGAAACGTTTACTAAAGTTTATAGTTTAAATTTAAAGTTCAGCCACCTGCAATAACTTTTACTAAAAATATATTTTCACGTGTTTCTAAGTTTTTTTTTTTAGAAAATAAGTTTATTGTCATTAAATAGCTTAAATATATAGATTTGTTTTGAAATACAATATGACACAGGATCAAATATGTTCGCCATATTTTAATTAATTTTTGGTTACATAAAACTGTGTGCCATACTGTCACTTGACAAAAAGGACTATGTTATGGCAACTTTCTTGGATATAGAGGGTGCATTGAACAATGTGAACATATCCCCAATAGCTGATGAAATGGGTGACTTAGGTGTTACAAAACGGAAATCTGTCTTTTCACTAGAAAGACAAAAATTTCTATGTATACTGAACCTTGCTTCGTGAGCAAGAAGATACCAGTGACAAAGTTAAGTACTTAGGTGTAATCCTCGACCGGAAATTAAAATGGAGACACCACATAGAGGTGGTGGAGGTGGAGAACTATAGGCATGGAATGAAGTCTTAGTCCTACTATGACAAATTGGCTTTATAAAAGTGTAATTAGACCAATTCTAGCTTTTGCATCAATAATCTGGTGGACTGCTTTAGACAAAGAGAGCAATATCAATCTACTAAAGGGAGTTCAGCGTACATGCTGCTTGGGTATAAGTGGTGCCATGTGTACTACTTCAACCAAGGCTCTGGAATCGTTACTAGATATTCCGCCCATTGAAACATATTTAAGATATGAGGCGGCGCTTACAACCGAACGGCTCTTTACTTTAGGCGAACTGGCCAAAAGCGGTTATAGGACACGTCATAAATGTATACTGGACACATTGGAAGGTTATACACAATCATCGGACGTGCTTGATCGTATACCAGACACAGAATATGTCGGAAACTTTGAAACGCTGATCCCAGATAGAATGTCTTATTCAAGCGGAACATTAGAGCAAATACCAGTAGGAATCCGTTGTTACACGAATGGCTCTAAATTGGGGGACAAAGTGGGGCTGGGGTTCCATATATTTAAGACCCACAAACAGAAATATACCACCGTTTACCAAATCATAACACAAGCTTCGTAAATTGGATTAGAATAAATATGGCGCCCACAGCGCTTAATATATTTACCGATAGCCAGAAGGCAATTAGGGCGATATCGGGCGACAGAACTAAATCTAAGACCGTATTGGATTGTAAGAAAGCATTAACTGAATACTCTCCCAGAGGTAAGGTTCACATCATATGGGTACCAGCCCACTCGGGAGTAGTCGGTAACGAAAGGGCGAATGTATAGTAATAGCTTTAAAGGGTAGGGAGCTCGAGGCAGTTAACCTGACAAACGCAAAACCATTCGACGCAATAAAAGCCGAGCCAAAAATATGGGTGAGAGAATCCCATAAGGCCTCTTGGAATAATGAAACAGTGGGTAGAACCACGAAGATACTATGGGGTAACCCTGATGAGAGCAAGACGAAAAATCTCCTCAAAATGAGCAAGTCTGAAGTTAGTATGATGGTACGTATTCTGAGTGGACACACAGGATTACGAGCACATCTATGCAAAATTGGACGTGCGGATTCAGACGAATGTAAAGCATAGGGAGAGGACAGTGAAACTCTGGAGCACTTTCTTTGCCACTGCCAGGCATTCGTCGAAGTTAGATCCAAGTATCTTGGAAGTGATGTTATTCCGGAAATAACATTCCTGAGTAACACTTATTGGAAGATTGGAGATACAAAATCCCTGAATTCAGACCCCTACGACTGAATGACACTTTTCTAAATACTTCAAGCCAAGCCAAATATCTTGGAGTAGTTTTAGACTCTGAGATCTTGTGGAAACCTAATGCTTAGAGTAGAATGAAGAAAACACTATGAGCATTCTACAAGAAACCCATTAGATGAGATGGGATCTTAAATCATATATTGTACACTGAATGTTCACCACGATCATAAGACCTATTTTGAGCTATAAGACTTTTGTTTGTTGGAGAGCAGTTGACATCAAAAATCACCTTTCTATACTAAACAAGATACAAAGATTAGCATGTCTTGCAATTACTGGCTCTATGAATTCCACCCCTCAGGACAGACTAGAGACGATGCTAAATATAACTCCCCTTTGATATACATATATGTATATTAAATGGATTTCTCCTAAGCCTGCTTTACGACTTAAACGGTCGAGCGGACTGAACCATGGTCGTATTGGTCAACATCCAACAAAAAGTAGGCAGGCCAATCATGGGGCAAGAAACAGACTAGTACCTACTCCGAATTTTGATAGGTCTTTTAAGATCAGAATACCAAAAAATTATGATTGGGCTGCGCACACTGTCCTAAGGGATCATGATCACAGTCTACACTGATGGTTCAAAGACAGAAAGAGACATGGGATCTCGAATTTTCTCCTATGAATTGGACCTTTTGTTGTCTCTTCGACTACCCTATACTTGCACTTTCTTCCAGGCGGAGATATATAAATCTCGAAAATTCAACTATACATATCTACTTGGACAGCCTTGCATAAATCAAGACTTTTAACTCCAACATTATAAAGTCGAAATGTCTTCTCAATTGTATCCAATACTGTCACAATTAACATCACGTCGAGTTGATATCGGTCCCAGAATATGAGGGCATCCGGAGAAATGAAATATCTGATGAATTGGCATCCAACGGATCGTCCCTAGACGTAACTCTTGCGAAAAGGGATATTCACACTTCCTTGGTGGCCTTGAAGAGACAGAACACAGCTGATCAAATATTACTTGTAGAATATCTAGATTGCTCTGGCCCACACTGACAGAGGATAGAACTAGAACTCTTTTGTTTTTTAGTAAAAATTAGGCTTCTCATGGATATATACAAATTTATGTCTATCAATTTTACGTGAGCTTCATTAGTCTGCAAAGCAATAGAAATATCTACTAGTCCATATACTAGACAGACTCGTTTATACACTAGACTAGAATGTATATCAGTTCAAAGACTAATTCATAGACTAGTTAATATATCTAGCTATAAATAAGATATTAGACTAGTTCATAGTACCAACTCTGACGAGAATATTAAATTGACATGACAACACATCTTCTACTTGGAGTAACATAATTTTTTATCTTGGCGTCATATTAGCTTCATATTCGCGAAGCAAAAAACAGTGAGAACTCCTGGTTTAGGGTGTCAACAATATTCGTTTCACATCAAGTTTAGTTTGGTTTATTCTCTCAATTTAACAAGTTTCATTTTATTCGAATAACAACAAAAATTAGCAAGTGTATCCGTGTAGTATTTTTCCATTTATACAACTAAAATAAAGTGGCATCCAAGCAAAATAATGCAACAAACCACAAGAATTATCAAAGAAAACGACCAACAACCGCACGTAAAACCAAAAAAATGCAAACTTGCATGCAACAAAATAAAATTAAAAATCACTGATCAAATGTTATCACCACTTAACTAACATGTTTTTTCCAAACATGAGATAACAATACAATTCATATTCTAAATTATAGACAAATCAATTAACATCGCAAACTCATATTCGGAAAATATTTCACTTAAGTAATGTCAACTTTTCACCATCATAATATAAAAAAAATATTTACAACAAAGTAACAATGTAAAATAAAACTCACCTCCGTTGGGCAATCCTTTGGCATTTTGATTAGAATGTTGTTGTTGATCTGACAATGATGAATGTTGTCGTTGTTTTTGTAATGCTGGATGAGCAGATAAAGATGATGATGAAAATAGTGAAGTAACTGCCGACTCTAAACATGGATTAATATTATGACGCTGTTGTGGCTGTTGCGGTGGTTGCTGTGGTTGCTGCTGCTGCTGCTGATTCGACTGCTGGTATGTTAATGTCTGTTGCGGCCTCTTGGTTTTTTGCAGTTCCAAAAGTTGTTGCTGCTGTATCGATGGTTCAGGTGCATTTAAAAGATCATACGGTAAACGGTCTAGATTAAAAAGTATACGACGTGAAGGTGTTGATGAAGTTGATGAGGATGAAGATGACAAGGATGAATTTTCATTGTTAAACGAAGAGGAAGTTGATGGATTACGATGACTGCTATATGTACGAGAATAATGATGATGCTGACTATGTGAGCCATATGATCGCGTTGTTGTGGTCAATGGAGTAGTTGTGGTTGTTGTTGTAGTACTTGTACTGGTAGATGTACTAGAAGCCAAATGGGCTTCACCAAAAGCAATGCGTGAGACTATGGCTGGTTTTCTCGATGATTGATGTATATTTACCGGAAGTGAAGTTGTCGGAATGGTAGAGATTGTGGGAGCATTTGTTGGAGGTATTAAAGTAATCGGGGATGGAGTTGAAGTGGCTGTTAAAATGGGCCAGTATGTTTTGGCTGGTTCGCTGTAGACTTTAGACGGCTGCGAATATACCTTGGAAGGTTCTGAATAAACTTTGGATGGTTGTCCATAAACTTTAGCAGGTTCGGAGTAGAATTTTTCAGGTTCTCCATACACTTTAGCTGGTTCAGAGTAGACCTTGGCAGGTTCGGAATAAAATTTTGCTGGTTCACTATACATTTTTGAAGGTTGTGAATAAAATTTAGCTGGTTCTGGCTGGTGATTTGATAAGGAAGCATTAGACCTCGGCATGGGTTTTAAGCTCTCACTGACATTACGTCGTGCTTCGGCTAAGATCCCCGATTGTTGCCACTTCTTTAAATCTTCCACATTTTGTGAGATCGAAGAATATGAAATGGAACGTGATTGCGGACCATGACCTGCCTTAGTATCATGGTAAATGACAGTTTGAAATGGTAACAGCTGATCTTCCACACCGCCATTAGTCATTTGCTGTTGTTGTTGCTGCATATCACCACCTTTAAACTTGTCATCGCTAGTGTTTGTAGCCGTACCAGTTGCGGTTTTATGGCGAGCCTGAGCCATATGCAAATTAGAATCGTGATTAATGGTCATATTACGTTGACCACTGTGATACATAGTTGTCACCATTGATGTGGAACGTGCTGAAGCGGACGTTTGTAGCGGTGCTGCCAAAACATTTTGTATATTAGTAGAGGCACTATTTTCTGAATCTAAAGCCTCCAATGTGTCTGCTACACTTGTTACTGGGTATTTACGATGACGTGATTGAATTATTTTACGTGATTTTTGCTGTGTCATTGTCAGCGGTTCAACTTCCTCTATGGAGAACTCACTTTTATGTGAGCGATTGATAAAGTTGTCTCCAACTGTGGTATCGATTTTAGTTGATGATGCCGATGACGTCGACAACGCAGGTGATGTTTGTGATCTGACAGTTGTCGCTGTTGGTGGTTTAGGTGTCATTGTTGTGAACATTTTGCTAGTAGTAGTTGTTGTGCTGGTTGTTTTCGCTGTTGTTAACGGTCTCTTTTCATATTTGACTGAACTGGCTTTATTGGTAAAGCGATTTCGGGCTGTTGCTGTGCCTCGTTGACTAGAAGAGGAAACACTCACAGCCACCACTTTATAATCATCTAAATTGGGATGAGTTTTTTGTTTAAATATTTCTCTTTTCAAATCGATATCTCTGACTTCAGCATCTAAGATGGCATCGTTTTCATCGTAATCTTCTAAAAACACAATTTTACTACCTGAGGTAACTAATTTAACTACTTGTTTACTATCCTCCAACTGACCCTCGGCCTGATTCAGCTTGGGCCCCTTGTCTTTTAAACTTCTACCACTACTAGACCTTCTCCCCGTTTCCGCAGATTTTTTGTCGAATGACTCTTCTTTTTTTGTAGCTGCCACTACAGCCTTTGTTTCTTCTGCACCCGCATTACTACTTCCACTGCCCCCACTACTATGGAAATCTTTGTCTAACTGATCATGTTCCATAAATAGTTTGAGAAACTCATTGCCTGCAATGAGATCACTATTGGCTTGAGAATTTCCTTTGAGTGGCCTTGTCTCATTAGACGGTATTCGCGCCAACATCTATAATTGAAAAGAAAAATAAATTAAATATAATAATAAAATAAACCACAATTGTTAGTTAAATAATTTATTAAGTTTAAAGGTTAAATATTTCTTAATTAATTGCACAGCTATAAATACGGAATGTTTGATAGTTTGTGAAGAAATTTATTTCATTGTGTGTCAATAACTGCAAAACTCTGTGGGATATGTTTGCATTAACGTTCGATACTCTACTAAAAAAATATGGTATACTTAGACTGATCTGATTTTTTGACCTTAGTGGCAAATATTCAAATTTGTCTATTTTTCACGAAGTCCAAAGATTTTGAAGATTAAGTTGTTCTACGAAATGAAAACACGGAAACTGACTTTATAATATTTTTAAGCAATAAAATGGTCATGATCGTGATCATTGGTTTTCATTAGTATTATCTAGGTTTATAGTGGAAACTAGTGATCAGGTTCACTGTTTAAAGGAGAAGTGATATACAAATTACGTTTACGATGATCGTAGAATCTATCCAAAAAGTAATACGATAAGGATTGATCTAATATAACGCCCCAGTGTGGTGTAGGGTACTAATATTTGAAAACATGTTCTTCATACACTCTACAAAATATAAAAAATATATTTTTTCAGATTGAAAATCTGCGCAGAGTATTTTAAAGTCTGCTACTAATATAATATTTAATAGCTATTGCTATACTAGTTTTCTTTAATAAAGTCTCGATTTCATTTACAATGACATTGATTTATTGCAATTTTATGTTAATTTGTAATGATTTAATAAGAAAGGAGAAAAAAATAGAACAAAATAGTATATAGCTTGGAAAAGTTCTTGAATCATAGAAAAACACTTCATCGGAAATGCATCATCTATGACATCAATTGAATGACAGATGGCTGATTTAATAAGTGATTGGAAATTGTAATAAATGACCAGAATGTGCAATAAAACAAAAAAAAAAGTATTTCTCATCATAAAACCTGATGTTTGGATTTTATAAATTCCTTATTTGCAAAAATACTCCGCTTCTTGGGGTTCAAATACATATTCTCAGATATATTGACAGTTTTTTTAATTAAAAAAAGTCATATTTTGACAGTATGATTGCCAAAAATTTCGACAAAATACTTCAAAAATTTAAAATATTAAACAACAGATTTCTCTAACAGCCACAAAAAAACTAAACAAAATCTTTATTGAAAATCTTTAATTACTAAAAAATAATAAAAAAAATCAATAATTTTGTAGGAACATGCCAAATATTTATTAAGAATTTCAACTCGACAAAGACATTCTTATAAATGTCAAATAGTTTTGTTGTTTAAATAACCTCAGGCAAACAGGCATGTCAAATTTGTTTAAACGTACATTTCACAAAACGGAAAAAATAAAAAAAAAACAAGTTGCTAAAGAAACAATTCAACAAGTAAAACAACAACAATCACACAAATAATTTGATAAACTCTTAATTTAATAACAACTTAAAAGAAATACATTCATTCATTCACAAACATTTACTTGTATATATTCGCAAATCTTGCATACACTCAACAGCCGTCACATAGACGCAACAACAACAGCAACAACGAAAACAATAACAGTATTAGCAACAAACATTTTATCAATCAAATTAAAACGAAAGACTTAAGACACAAACTCTAAAAGAAAAATATATACATACATATTAGGGTGATCGATTATTCGACATTTTCCAAAAACCGGTTTTCGAATAGTTAACATTTAAAAAAAACCGGTTGATATTTTTCAAATTCAGAAAAAACCGGTTAACCGGTTTTTCATTACAATTAAAAAAAATATATTTTAATTTGAAAAACTTAATGTTTATGTTTAAATTTGATTAATAAAACATGGCCCGAAATGATTTTTAACAGTTTAAAAGATTATAACTTTAGATCTAGTCGTCTGATTTACATTATTTCTTTAATATAAAAAAATTAGGAAAAAAGTGGGACACTTCTGTTAAACATGTAATCCTAGCTTATTTTAAAAGCCCTGTTTAGGAAATTTGCATAGGCATTCCAACACTTCCATAAGATTTCAGCCGTAAATTAATTATTGTAATTGGAATATAATCTTAAGATTGCTAAATTTTATCAAACAGTTATCCATTTTACAAATAATTTTTAATTAATTAGGAAAATCAAAAAAGTTTAACCAAAAGAGCTGTAGAAAAATATACTCTGGTTCCTCGACTCGAATATTTTTAAAATTTAGACGGGCTGTATTATTATTTACTTAAAAATTTCATTTAAATAATCTTTGAATACAAAGCAAATAAAAGTATTCGAAACCGGGTTTTAAAAAGTGAAAAAACTGGGTTATTTGATATTCGAAAAATCAACATTAAGAAAAAACCGACACTGGTAAAGCAGAAAAAATCGGTTTTAAAACCGGTTGAAAAATCGAGTCGATCACCCTAATACATATACGAGAAGCAAATAAACAAAAATCACAGAAATGCCAGCAGAAATTGACTTAACGACAAAATTAAAATTTTTTTCTACCAAAGATACTCAAAATATTGACGCATATACACTTGTACAAAAATAACAAGTCTGATAAAATCTGCACAACTAATTGCATGCCGCGATACTGTTGATGATGTATCGAATGTTAAACTACAAAAACGGAATCTATTTATAAGTTTATCTAACTGTTTGGCTATATGTAGTCACACAGCGGAATATAACACTTACATGCCATTGAAATTGATTTGAAATACTTCAAATTAATTAAGAAACTAAATGTGTTTAGCTGTTAATATGAGTGTGAGAACATAAAAATACAAATTACTATTTTAAAATTTCGTTAATTTTATAACAAAGAAGATAACGACTATATCGAATCAAATATAATAACAAATCTGATGCAACAAGTCAAAGTTGACCATCCTATATGTGATAAAGCTTTTTAATTTAACTTGTGTGTCATCACAAATTACAAAATTACTATTTTTGAGAGAAGTGGTATTTTGGAGTCATAAGAAAAGCTGCAGGAGTATGTGTTTGTATCTTGGGGATATTATCTTAGAACTACTTTAAAGTTTTAATTTTAGATTTCTGTTTAAACAGGAAAGTATTTGCTTCTCACAACTTCTGATATTAAAATTTTAAACATTTAAAAGGTCTTTGAGTGAGACACTGGACAGATAAAGAAGGAATCAGATGGACGCAAGTTTTGGCGAGTAATAAGTACCCTTCGGAATGTTAGCCCATTAGGCACGAGATCCACAATTAGTCCCACTTTAAAGTATACGAATCCACTCAGAGTCAGTCATTTAAGACATGATCGACCCTCAAACAACCAGACCACAATAGTCTTTGAAGATCATAATTATTTTAAATATAAATAGGTCAAGCCCTGCAGATAAACGCATAGTACCATCTATGTTTATGAGTGGTCTAAATATTAAGGAGTCGGAAACTCTTGATTTCTGGGCATGAAAATGTAGTGCGATGCCAGCTGGATTAAACACACGTTTCAAGTGTAAAAAAAAGCCTTCGAGTGTCTCGGTTTTTTAAAACGGTGTAAGTCATACTTCACTCCATCTAATCTGCTTTCTATTTACACCACTTATATCCGACAGAAAATGGAATACAGATCTCGTATATTGGAAGGAGCTTCGAAGTCTATTTTTGAGTTACTCGAACGCGTACAGGAGAGGGCGAAGGTACTTATCGGTGATAGTAGGGTATCTAACTATATTGATTCACTGAAGCACCGTAGCAAAGTGATATGTATTGTACTGTTCTATCGGATCTACAATCGAATGTGTTTCTCTGAAATTAGAGAACTTGTTCCCAATACCCGTATATTTTTATGCAAAACAAGTCTTTTGCAAGAACACAAACATTTTTGATAATTTGTCCAGTGAACCGCACAACACACTGTTCGTACTTCCTGCAGAAGTATTCCCCATCACTTTCGACGTGAAAATATTTAAATCAAATATTCTCAAACAATACTCCCTTTATCCTCACTGCAACTTTTCCTTATGTCTCATGTTTAAATTCAGAATTACATATTGAAGAGATAGAAGACGAAACTGTTTCAAATAAGGAAATTGTAAGTGAGTAATTGAATTACTGCTAATCTCTAACATGAATAAGTCTATCGAATATTATGATGATCGACCCATATTAAACCATAGCCCCATATAAAGCCTAGATGACTACTACATACCGTGTGCATTACATAGAAGGAGTCTAATAATGACTTGCAAATAATATATTATGTACATATTGTTATATATTATGACATATTGTTTACTGATAACAGACGCTGTGGACGTATCCTTGTAGACAATTTCTTTCCAGAAACTAAACTACTTACTTAACTCGCTATTTTCAGGCGATTGTAGTAATTAGTTATCTAACTCTCTATTTGTAAGAGAGCGTGGTAAGTACTTGTCATCCTCATGTTAAAATAGTGACTTTTCTATTTGATTTGATAACTTTCACCACTTTTCTTTTCAATATTAGTTTTTGCTGGAGAATTAATTACATATTGTTTAAAACGGACAAATTTCTAACAAATCACAAACTTTTAACGATTTTTCTATCCAATTTAGGTTATTTAAATTAAAGCACAGGTTTTTTTTAGTAATTCATATCTTTACCGATGTGAGAAATATAAAGTTCCAAGAAATATTACTAATTTCTTCCATTCTAGTGACATTATTTCCAGTTAATTCCATTTGACAAAGAAGTGTAACACTAAACAATTCCAAGTCGTTAAACATGCATAAACTATCTAACTATTTATGATGTAAGATAAATTTACATACATGTTTTTCTTTTAAATTACTACTTTTTATTATTTAATAATATAATTATAACAAAAATAAAAAAAAAAACTACAACTAAACCACATCCGGCAGAATTTAGAAAAATGAACAAAAAAAACTATATGACAACAAAACAAAAGCTGCTCCCCTTTTGAAGTTTTTTTTTTTTCTTAATTTTTTGTTATTTTTTCTTCATTGGACAG